GTTATCTGAATCTTTTCGATTCTCGGAGTGGAGATCCCATTCTTAGTTTCACCTTTCCGGATTCTGGGGTGGAGATCCCATCTCGAGTCTCCTTTCCAGATGAAGATAGAATATAAAATTATTCTTCTTCAGTGTCGGGAGATAGGATATAAAATTCTTCCTCTCCCATTTCGGGTTCGTCTTTGCCCCAAGAGAAGACACCAACCTTTTCCAAAAAATTTGTCAATTTAGGATTCATCTTAGGAAGTTTATCCCGAATCCTAAGCAGGGATAAGTCTGCGCCTAACACGCGCTGCCGGTTTAGTCTTTCTCCGAAGAAAAAGACACCAGAGTTGACTCGCACAGTTCCGAGTCACCAGAAGCTGACTCGCACAGTTCCGAGTCACCAAATGCTGACTCGCACAGTTCCGAGTCACCAGAAGCTGACTCGCACAGTTCCGAGTCACCAGAAGCTGACTCGCACAGTTCCGAGTCACCAGAAGCTGACTCGCACAGTTCCGAGTCACCAGAAGCTGACTCGCACAGTTCCGAGTCACCAGAAGCTGACTCGCACAGTTCTGAGTCACCAGAAGCTGACTCGCACAGTTCCGAGTCACCAAATGCTGACTCGCACAGTTCCGAGTCACCAGAAGCTGACTCGCACAGTTCCGAGTCACCAGAAGCTGACTCGCACAGTTCCGAGTCACCAGAAGCTGACTCGCACAGTTCCGAGTCACCAGAAGCTGACTCGCACAGTTCCGAGTCACCAGAAGCTGACTCGCACAGTTCTGAGTCACCAGAAGCTGACTCGCACAGTTCCGAGTCACCAAATGCTGACTCGCACAGTTCCGAGTCACCAGAAGCTGACTCGCACAGTTCCGAGTCACCAGAAGCTGACTCGCACAGTTCCGAGTCACCAGAAGCTGACTCGCACAGTTCCGAGTCACCAGAAGCTGACTCGCACAGTTCCGAGTCACCAAATGCTGACTCGCACAGTTCCGAGTCACCAGAAGCTGACTCGCACAGTTCCGAGTCACCAAATGCTGACTCGCACAGTTCCGAGTCACCAGAAGCTGACTCGCACAGTCCCGAGTCACCAAATGCTGACTCGCACAGTTCTGAGTCACCAGAAGCTGACTCGCACAGTTCCGAGTCACCAGAAGCTGACTCGCACAGTTCCGAGTCACCAAATGCTGACTCGCACAGTTCCGAGTCACCAAATGCTGACTCGCACAGTTCCGAGTCACCAGAAGCTGACTCGCACAGTTCCGAGTCACCAGAAGCTGACTCGCACAGTTCCGAGTCACCAGAAGCTGACTCGCACAGTTCCGAGTCACCAGAAGCTGACTCGCACAGTTCCGAGTCACCAGAAGCTGACTCGCACAGTTCCGAGTCACCAGAAGCTGACTCGCACAGTTCCGAGTCACCAGAAGCTGACTCGCACAGTTCCGAGTCACCAGAAGCTGACTCGCACAGTTCCGAGTCACCAGAAGCTGACTCGTACAGTTCCGAGTCACCAAATGCTGACTCGCACAGTTCCGAGTCACCAAATGCTGACTCGCACAGTTCCGAGTCACCAAATGCTGACTCGCACAGTTCCGAGTCACCAAGACTCTTGTTGGATATAAAACCTCCCCAAACATGGATTTCAATGATTTTTAAGGATTCTTTCGTCCCAAAACCTCTCCAACTGCTCTGAGGTTATCCATAAACACGTTTAGACAGTTATAAACCGCAGATAATGTTTAAACATCAATTCCTACTAGGAGACACATCTCAAAAAGCCTATAAATAGAAGCCTAAGGTCTTCTTTCAAGGGGATCGGAGATCTGAGATTAAGAAGGCGAGGTGCTGTCAAATTGACCAGTCAACCACGAATTTCAGAGGAGAATCATCAGAGCTTGGCGAACACTTTCATAAAGAAAGCCCCTTCGAAAGGTTTGTGATTCTCTTCCCTTCTTTCCTCCGGATTAAACTTGGTTTTAATCTCGAGAAGAGCCACAATCTCGCTTGGTCGTGATTGTCGCTTCCGTAATTGTTTCCCTCGTGAAACAAGAGCGTAATTATATTGTCGATCGGCTTTGGTCTGCGGTGGTCCACGGACTAACGCGTCCCCGGCACAGGCAAAGATCCCACGCAAAGCAGCGGGAGATAAACTACTGCTGCGTTTTGTTTGATAAAGTTGTAATCTTTATTTTTTCGTTGTGAGAAGATCTTATAAAAAGATCAACTCTCTTTTCAGTTTGAACTTGTAATCGATAAACGGTAAAACAGGTTTGAAAGCAATGGAAAAGGCAACTTTTGACACAAACAGTTTCCACACTAAAGTAGTGAGAAATATATGAGTAAAGTATGTCGTTATTTTGTCGAATTGACGTAGCCGCATGTTTACAAGGTAGCCCAACAACTTGCCATTCACGACAAGTGCATGTACGCTCATTCAAATCTACTTCAACGGTAGGGAAATCATAGACCTCATACCTTCCCGTAGTAGAAGGAATAGCAAAAAGACAACGTGATTGCTCATTGATTTGAATGAGGTGCTCTTCCACAGTAGGAACAAATGTTGTGGTCCACTTGTGGGATGCCTCCCGCCTTTCGAAACTCATCCTCATCATTTTCTTACGAATATTATCAAGTGTTTGGGTAATTGGCAAATAACGAGCTTCTTTGATCCAAGCATTGAATGACTCCGCTAGGTTTGATGTCAACCATCCATATCTACATGCATGTCAATAAATGGTAAGTAGAGATGTACATATAACTAAATGATTTGCAATTAAAATTGTAAGTAAACTTTCATATTAACCTCTTCCCAGGAAAATAGCTATTAGCCCAATTTTCTGGACTCATCCGCAACAATTCATTATAGGCGATCTCAGATTTGTTCCGTAGCTCGTTGCAATCATTGTTATAGGAACGAGTAGTGTATGCGTAAGCAGCCCTCTTCATAATTTGCACACATTCATCTCATAAAGGTGGTACAATTCCTTTCTTTGACAAGTTATTCTTAAAATTAGCCTGTAGATGACGGATACAATAAGAGTGATGCGACCATGGAAAGGATTTCTTAACGGAATTCTGAAGCCCTTTGTCCCTATCGGAGATTAAAACCAGCTCATCATCTGGAGTGTACGGATCTTCATCGTTGAAGAGAATGTCTCGAATGCATTCCAAAAACCATTCCCAATTACTTTCATTCTCCGTCCCGCATATGCAAATTGCTACGGGAAACATTCCCCCATCTCCATTTAGCGCAGTTGCGGCGAGTAATGTTCCTTTATACCTATAATACAACCGGTATGGTAGCAATTATGAATGAAAGTATAATAAATTTATGAAGAGTGGTACATTAATGCAAGTTTTGATTAGATTGAACTCTACCATACCTATCAAAAAGATGAGTACCATCCAAGAACAACATTGGCCTGCATCCCTCCATAAACCCCTTCCAACAAGCATAATAAGATACGAAAACTCTTGTAAATCTTCCATCTTCATGCTCTAAGTGAACAATTGATCCCGGATTAGTTTCCATAACTTTATCTTTATACCATCAGAGTTGGTCATATGAATATTTAGTATCACCATACAATTCACGTTGAGCTAGCTCTTTTCCCCACCAAATCCTATGATAAGGGATGTCCAATCCAAATTCTGGTTTAAGCTTCTTCTGGAAATCAATTGGACGATAAGTGGGTTGTTCCTTTAAGATGGATCTGAGATGATTAGCATTCCACTTCCGAGATGCCCGGCTATATCCTTCCTTTCCTATGCCTCCTCCCAAACAACTATGAGTACCACAAATTTTTTTTTTACATAGAATTTATCACTATCTCTACGGCGGGTGCAATGAACCATCCAGGCATAGTTTATGGCCTTGCATTTTACTGTCACTCTTCTACGTTCATTTTTTACAAAAGCAAAGTTAAACCCTCGTGCAATAGAGTAATTACTTAAACTCCGCCGACAATGCTCAACATCATCAAATTCTTGACCAACACTTCTAATTGCATTGTGCCATGCAAGAGGAATCATACTAGAGCTCCCAACTTCCCGAGACATATTTTGTGAAGAAGAAGGATTTTGTGAATAAGATACATGTTCTTCACTAGAAGGGATGTACGGATTCCTGCATAAAAATTTGTACAAGAGTTTAAAGAAATTGAGAACTTTAAAATTGATGGTAAAAGTATTAATGTCTATCAAATGCGTAAATTACCTTATATGGACAGTATTACATTGTTGCCCAAATAATATCTCTCGATCCATGTCAGCATTCATGACAACTACATTCTCCTTGCAACATCGATGTATATTGAACATTATCAATACATCATCATCATCACATACACGCACATACATTTCTTGTGTGTGGGGTACTTTGTAAGTCAACTTCATCATGCTTGCATTACAAGCAATTAGACTTTGCACCGCAACCGCCAAATCATTGTAACTCCCGTTGATATTTAATTTTAAGAAGTGATTATTTCCTCTAAAATCCGTCAATGCACAATACAATTCTTCATCCATCTATGTTTGTCATCAAAAATAAAACAAATTTAAGGAAAATTTCATCAAAAATAAAACAAATCATTGTAGCAAGTTACACTGCAAGTATAGCGGGTTATCCTGTAAGTGTAGCGGGTTATCCTACAAGTGTAGCGTGTTACACTGGAAGTGTAGCAAGTTACACAAGTGTAACGTGTTATGCTGTAAGTGTAGCGGGTTATCCTTTAAGTGTGCGGGTTATATTGTAAGTGTAGCGGGTTAGAGTGTAAGTGTAGCGGGTTATCCTGTAAGTGTAGCGTGTTATGCTGTAAGTGTAGCGGGTTATCCTGTAAGTATAGCGGGTTATATTGTAAGTGTAGCGGGTTAGACTGTAAGTGTAGCGGGTTATGCTGTAAGTGTAGCGTGTTATGCTGTAAGTGTAGCGGGCTAGACTGTAAGTGTAGCGGGTTAGACTTTAAGTGTAGCGTGTTAGACTATAAGTGTACGGCCTTGCATTTTACTGTCACTCTTGTACGTTCATTTTTTACAAAAGCAAAGTTAAACCCTCGTGCAATAGAGTAATCACTTCACAAAATCACATACACGCACATACATTTCTTGTGTGTGGGGTACTTTGTAAGTCAACTTCATCATGCTTGAATTACAAGCAATTAGACTTTGCACCGCAACCGCCAAATCATTGTAACTCCCGTTGACATTTAATTTTAAGAAGTGATTATTTCCTCTAAAATCCGTCAATGCACAATACAATTCTTCATCCATCTATGTTTGTCATCAAAAATAAAACAAATTTAAGGAAAATTTCATCAAAAATAAAACAAATCATTGTAGCAAGTTACACTGCAAGTATAGCGGGTTATCCTGTAAGTGTAGCGGGTTATCCTACAAGTGTAGCGTGTTACACTGGAAGTGTAGCAAGTTACACAAGTGTAACGTGTTATGCTGTAAGTGTAGCGGGTTATCCTTTAAGTGTGCGGGTTATATTGTAAGTGTAGCGGGTTAGAGTGTAAGTGTAGCGGGTTATCCTGTAAGTGTAGCGGGTTAGACTTTAAGTGTAGCGTGTTAGACTGTAAGTGTAGCGTGTTAGACAATAAGTGTAGCGTGTTAGACTATAAGTGTAGCGTGTTATGCTGTAAGTGTAGCGTGTTATGCTGTAAGTGTAGCGTGTTATCCTATAAGTGTAGTGGGTTACACTGTAAGTGTAGCGGGTTATGCTGTAAGTGTAGCGTGTTATCCTGTAAGTGTAGCGTGTTATCCTGTAAGTGTAGCGTGTTATCCTGTAAGTGTAGCGGGTTACACTATAAGTATAGCGGGTTATGCTGTAAGTGTAGCGTGTTATCCTGTAAGTGTAGCGTGTTATCCTGTAAGTGTAGCGGGTTATATTGTAAGTGTAGCTGGTTAGAGTGTAAGTGTAGCAGTTTAGACTGTAAGTGTAGCGGGTTATTCTGTAAGTGTAGGGTGTTATTCTGTAAGTGTAGTGGGTTATTCTATAAGTGTAGCGTGTTAGACTGCAAGTGTAGCGGGTTAGACTGTAAGTGTAGCATGTTATGCTGTAAGTGTAGCGTGTTATGCTGTAAGTGTAGCGGATTATATTGTAAGTATAGCGGGTTATATTGTAAGTGTAGCGGGTTATTCTGTAAGTGTAGCGTGTTATGCTGTAAATGTAGCGTGTTATGCTGTAAGTGTAGCGCGTTAGACTGGAAGTGTAGCGGGTTATGCTGTAAGTGTAGCGGGTTATGCTGTAAGTGTAGCGGGTTAGAGTGTAAGTGTAGCGGGTTATTCTGTAAGTGTAGCGTGTTATGCTGTAAGTGTATAGGGTTAGACTGCAAGTGTAGTAGGTTAGACTGTAAGTGTAGCGGGTTAGACTGTAAGTGTAGCAGGTTATGCTGTAAGTGTAGCGTGTTATGCTGTAAGTGTAGCGGGTTATCCTGTAAGTGTAGCGGGTTATCCTGTAAGTGTAGCGGGTTATATTGTAAGTGTAGCGGGTTATCCTGTAAGTGTAGCGGGTTAGACTGTAAGTGTAGCGTGTTATGCTGTAAGTGTAGCATGTTATATTGTAAGTGTAGCGTGTTATGTTGTATGTGTATTGGGTTAGACTGTAAGTGTAGCGTGTTATGCTGTAAGTGTAGCGGGTTAGAGTGTAAGTGTAGCGTGTTATGCTGTAAGTGTAGCGGGTTAGAGTGTAAGTGTAGCGTGTTATGCTGTAAGTGTAGCGGGTTAGAGTGTAAGTGTAGCGGGTTATGCTGTAAGTGTAGCGGGTTATCCTGTAAGTATAGCGGGTTATATTGTAAGTGTAGCGGGTTGGACTGTAAGTGTAGCGTGTTATGCTGTAAGTGTAGCAGGTTATATTGTAAGTATAGCGTGTTATGCTGTAAGTGTAGCGGGTTATACTGTAAGTGTAGCGGGTTATCATGTAAGTGTAGCGTGTTATGCTGTAAGTGTAGCGGATTAGTCTTTAAGTGTAGCGGGTTATCCTGTAAGTGTAGCGGGTTAGACTGTAAGTGTAGCGGGTTATATTATAAGTGTAGCGGCTTAGACTGTAAGTGTTGTGGGTCAATGCACAATACAATTCTTCATCCATCTATCTATGTTTGTCATTAAAAATAAAACAAATTTAAGGAAAATTACAACTAAAATCAAATTATGTGAAATTAATCAAAGATTATGTGAATTAATGAGTGATCGAATAAAATCAAATTTAACTAAAATTTTATAAAATATAAAAAAAAATTATGTGAATTATGTGAAATTAATCAAAGATTATATGAAACTAATTTTTATGTGAATTATGTGAAATTAATCAAATATTATGTGAAACTAATTTTTCCTTAATGTGTGGTTGAATAGTAACAAATGTAACTAACAAATTTAACTAAAAATATAAAAAAAATTATGTCAATTATGTGAAATTAATCAAAATGTAACTAACAAATTTAACTAAAAATATAAAAAAAATTATGTCAATTATGTGAAATTAATCAAATATTATGTGAAACTAATTTTTATGAATTCAGGATTAATAATGAGAAATTAATGTGAACTAATAATGTCAAATAATTAATTAACGTGAAATTATGTTCAATTAATGAGTGGTTGAATAGTAACAAATGTAACTAACATTTTTATCAAATATAACAAATTTAACTATTTTTTATGAATTCATGAATAACAATTTTAAATGATTTTTATTTGTTATACTGTCAAATATAACAAATTTAACTAATTTACATGAATAGCAATGTCAAATAATTCATGAATAAGAGGATGAATTAATGCAATAAACTTGGTAGATGAGTAAATTGCAAAATTATACATTCAATTGTTAAGAAAGTGATGAATATCCACTAAAATCACACCATACACATTAATGGAGTTGAGAATTTAATGATTGATTGATAAGTGGATGAAAATTAATTGATGGGTTTAATGGAAGAATGTAGTATTAATGGATGGGAGAGGGAGTTAATTAGGAAATGGAGAGAGAGAGAAAGGGAGGGAGAGAACGGGATTTATTTCCCGCCCTTTCAGAACGTCTCTCTCTCTCCTCTCTCTCTCTCTCTCTCTAAATTTTTAATATTTTACATTTTTAAAGGGGCCCACCTAATAAAGAACTCATTATTAAACTGTAAAGGGTAGAGTTGGAATTAATTCAAAAATTTTGGGGGGCCCACACTTACAAGTATTGTATTTTGTAAGTGGGGTTTAAAGATAAAAACCCAAAGATCTTTGGGTTTATGGATACATAAAATAGTAAATGGGTTTATAGGTAAAGATGGGTAATCATTTGGGCCTAGAAATAAAAAACCCAAAAAAATATCATCGATATAAATTCTTCATATATAGATATGAAAACTAAGCGATATGACATTGAGTGTAGTGTGGAATATTATCTTAATCGTAAGCAACTATGAAGGTACAAGCATAAACATAAATATAGTTATGATACAATACAGAGTAATTTATATAGTCATCAATCCTAAAAGAATCCTATGAGTATCCAAGAGAACCATATCAAATGTATACTGATAGAGATACGGGTCAAAGATCGGTGTATCAATGAGCATAGTCATTTATTCTGAAAAAATATGACCAAATGCTAGCAGTTGGCCTTGTCAATGAGTCAAATCAAAGCTTCAACAGAACTGCTGGGTGTGCCACCATGAACAGGTCTCAGACTGCCATCACAATCGGTCGAAGAAAGAATTTTCAGGGGTAAAAGTCCAAGTATTCTAATGGTCAGGATTGATCAAATAACGGTGTCTAACTAATTGAGTTGGTATGCCTTTCAGCGAGGCAAGTCCACCCTAGATTCCATTGTCCTGGTCCACGAGTGAAGGATTGACGAACAGTTGAAGAAAGCTCAAGAAAATCGACAGAAAAACTGTCAGGAAGCTTCGCGGTCGACCGTGAGATCAGCTGCGGTCGACCGAAAATGTGCACGAGACCTGGGAAGTCTCTGGAATTTTGGCAGTCGACGACAACGTCACGTACGGTCGACCGGCCAAACCCTGTAGGGTTTTTGTTTCTATCGTTGTCTTGCGGCTGACCACGACGACCATAGCGGTCGACCGCGTATCGGGTCTGAGCTGGAATTTGGGTTTTTGACCTGTTTTGTTTGTTGTTTGTATATTACCCTAAACATGATTAATTAGGGTTAAGCAAGAACGTTTTGAGCAGTCTTTGAGAGTGAATTGTTGCATCCAATTATGAGAGATCTACAAAGCTTTGTTTGAGGGTTTTTGGAGAGATTTATATCCCTATTTGTATTCTCTTGATTTCTAATAGTAGAACTCCCTCCTCCTTGCCCCATGGACATAGACAACTTGCCGAACCATGTACAATTTATTTGTCTTGCTGTGGTATTGTGTTTGGCTTGTTTGGTTGTGATCTTCCTCATCCTTGTTCATGTGATTTGAGTTCCGTTGTGCACAATAAGTGGTATCAGAGCTTCTGGTTTGGCTTGGAGCTTGTTCGAAGGATTCGCTAAAGGATTCTTATTTAGAGAGTTAGATCGACAACAT